AAGAGGCTCTTTAGGTCCTCTTCACTTTTAGCCATTAGAGTGGTATCATCTGCATATCTGAGGTTGTTGATCTTTTCCCCAGCAATCTTAATTCCCGCTTGTGATTCATCCAGGCCAGCATTTTGCATGATGTACTCTGCATATATATTAAATAAGCAAGGTGACAATATACATCCTTGTTGTACTCCTTTTCCTATGCTGAACCAATCAGTTGTTCCATATCCGGTTCTAACTGTTGCTTCTTGGCCCTTATACAGGTTTCTCAAGAGACATGTGAGGTGGTCTGGTACTCCCATCTCTTTAAGGACCTGCCATAGTTTGTTGTGATCCACACAGTCAAAGGCTTTAGCATAGTCAATGAAGCAGAAGTAGATGTTTTTCTGGTACTCTCTTGCTTTCTCCATAATCCAGCGAATGTTGGCAATTTGATCTCTCGTTCCTCTACCTCTTCTAAACCCAGCTTGTACTTCTGGCAGTTCTCTATCCACGTACTGTTGAAGCCTAGCTTGTAGGATCTTGAGCATGACCTTGCTAGCGTGTGATATGAGTGCAATTGTGCGATAGTTCGAACATTCCTTGGCATTGCCCATTGCCCATTCCTGCCACTACTCTGTTGCTTTCCAGAAACCTTCCAAAATCTGTATATACTCAGTAATATATACAGAAAAGCATATTCTTCCAGAATACATATGCACAAATCGCCCCTGCTCCATGCTTTCAGCCGAATTCCCATACAGTGGAATTATTTGCGGATTTCACTCTTGATGCTCCTTCGGGGTTCTCTTGTCTCAGAATCTGCGATGTGTTATTTTTCGTGCCAGCTGTTAAATCACCTAACCTGTGCCCACCGTCATTGTTCAGATAAAAAAGCAGAATCCCAGCACACCATGCCGGAAGAGCTTGTTGAATCTGAACCACGTTGAATAAAACACACCCAGATGGCTCGCACAAGGTTGCTGCTCGCCCGCAGATGCTGAAAATAGCACGGCAGCATAAATGTTTCTTGATGGAATGTTAATTGCACTGCCGTGTGTCAACAGTAGCTTTTAAATCCCAATATGGATTGCTTCCCATCCCAGCGCCAGTCGAGGCTGAAGTTCATTCTAGTCCGTTTGGCTGCAAAGGCTACGGAAGCTCTCAAAATGCCAGATCATCTATGCAGCCTCCCTGAAGAGTAAAGGGGTTTCCTTTGTTTGAGTCCTCTCTTTTTTCCATCTAGTCCAGCCTCCTGTCTCACACAGTGGCCAGCCAGTTCCTCTGGAGGGCCAACAACAGGGCAGGGAGGCCAAGGCCTTCCCCTGATAAGGATACCAGAAGAGCCCTGCTGGATCAGACCAGGGAGGGTCCATCTAGTCCAGCCTCCTGTCTCACACAGTGGCCAACCAGTTCCTCTGGAGGGCCAACAATAGGGCAGGGAGGCCGAGGCCTTCCCCTGATAGGAACCTCAGAAGAACCCTGCTGCCTCAGTAAGAGATTTATCTGTAGTGCTTTCAATCTCCAGGTGAGGTCTGGAGATCTCTCACTATTACAATTGATTTCCAGACGACCAAAATCAGCTCCCCTGGTGAAAAAGGCTGCTTTGGAAGGTGGACTTTATGGCCTTATACCCTGCTGAAGCGCCTCCCCTTCCCAAACTCCACCCTACCCAGGTTCCACCCCCAAATCTCCAGGAATTTCCCCACCTGGAGCTGGAACCCTATTTATTTATGGGGCAATGAGAGTGCAGAATGAGGAGCTATACAGTTTAGGTCAGCATGGATTGCGAAGAACTTGCCAGGCCAGGAAGTTTAGCAAAGCTCACGATGGTGATGGGTTAGATTTTCTGACTTTAAAAGTAAATCTCAAACAAGGTTATTTCAGGATGGGATTCCCAGAATTAAGGAGGCAGAGATCTGAAGTCTATTCAGACCTTAATCCCAGTATCCTTTCCGAGAGAAGGGTATTAAGAGAGCGAACGGAAGAATTAAGGAATTTAAGAATTATCGGTGGGCAATTTCCCCGTCAAATTATTGGTGGGTTGTAGAGGGATGATAGTGATGCTCTACAGTTATGACGAACGTTAACGAAAAGATCAGCATTAATTTGATTTATCTACCAATATTAATGTTTCTGTATCTGTCGCTACCCTTAACTTACCTAAGATTTGTACTGCTGTTGCTGCTGTTTTATAAATATTCGAGAATTTTACGAACGCGAAATAGAAAACAAGAAACTCCAGCATTAACTGTGTATTGGACAATGGAATAGTGTGTCCGTGGGCGTGTTAAGCGTCATCAAGCCTCTTCTAATTTACAGCCACCCTATGAATTAATGTCCCCCAAAACGTTTTTAAGATGTAATTTCATTATGGGTGGTTTAATTTGTTCAAGGGCAGAGAAGCAGGGTATAAATTTTGTGAAACATTTAAAAAATGCATGGACCTTCTAGGGCCCAGGGGTGTCTAACTCATTTGTTATGAGACCTTGTTGGGCTGGGCCTTGTGTGTCATAATGTAATGCCAGGTAGCGGAGATATAAACTTTATAAAGGACACAAACACAAAGGTGGGTTTTTTTACTTAAAATAAAACATTAGCACTCTTGCAATATTTTGTTTATTTCACTGTGTCTGATAACTGACACCTCTTGCTCTGAATTATTGCATCAAAATGTGTGCACTGTTGCGACCTTGAGGATGCTGTTCAAGTTTTTATCTGTAAGCTGCAAACCTACCTTTAATTAATTGACATTCACCACAGAAATCTCGTGCTCAGAGTTCTGAGTCTAGGACCCCGGGGAAAACATGAAATGACTGAGCGACTGAGAGAGTCTGGCGAAGTAAGCTATGATGCAGCAGCGGCAACAGAACCGGAAGCAGGAGATGGCCAGTTCCAGTGCAGGCCCGATAGAAGCCCTCTGGGGGCCTGATCTGGCACCCGGGCCGCATGTTTGACACCCCTGTTCTAGGCTGTTGGTGTACAAGGCATCATGGTCAACTGAGAAGTGAGGACAACAGTTGGTAGTGGTGGGCGATTCCTGGTCGCCTTCTCTCACACACACTTTCTTTTTAGGCCGACCTTGGCTTGACAGTCCGTCAAAACAGGTACCAGAGGTCCGGTCCTTGGTCCCATTGGCCAGCGGCAGATTCCCGCCTTAGGCCGGATAACTCAACTGTCTCTTGTCTTCTGCTTCTCCACAGGTCGGGGACCACAAGTTCAGCGCCCACCGGATAGTCTTGGCCGCCTCCATCCCGTACTTCCACGCCATGTTCACCAACGACATGATGGAATGCAAGCAAGATGAAATCGTCATGCAGGGGATGGATCCGAGGTGTGGCTCTTGGGGACGGCGGAGGGGGATTTGGGGCAGGCAGTCATTCACCGTGTGGGTCAGACAACTTAATTTTTCTCCCCTCCACATTGCAGCATTGGTTTCATAATAACTGTTGTGGCGTCCTCATCTACATGGTGACCTGTTGTACGTGATCGCCTTGTTGTCTGGTCAGGCCTACTTCAGATACAGACACACCCTTAAGAGGCCTGGATGTCTCCTTAGCTTTCCTTTCTCAGATTATTAATTACCTGCTGATAAGTAAACTACGATAACAGTTTTGGTTTGTTTGGGGTGTAGTGCACAACTACACTATGGTGTATGAACTATGGTGCTGGAGAAGACTCTTGAGAGTCCCTTGGACTGCAAGAAGATCAAATCAGTCAATCCTAAAAGAAATCAATCCTGACTGTTCCCTGGAAGGCCAGATAATGAAACTGAAGCTCAGATACTTTGGTCACCAAATGAGAAGGGAGCACTCACTGGAGAAGACCCTGATGCTGGGAAAGATTGAAGGTCAAAGAAGACGGGGGCGGCAAAGGATGAGGTGGTTAGACAGTGTCATAGATGCAACGAACATGAAGTTGAGCCAACTTCAGAGGACGGCGGAAGACAGGAAGGCCTGGTGGGATCTGGTCCATGGGGTCGCGAAGAGTCGGACTCGACTGTGTGACTGAACAACAACAACAAAAGTGCACAAGTACAAATATTACTAGAGGATCTTTGCTTCCATTTTTTTCCTAAAAGACAATTATTTGCCTCTTTAACATTAACCAACAAAAGAATATAATAATACCACCCCTTATTTTTCATCAGAAGTAAGTAGTTCACAAGCAAGGAACATATTCAAAGAAAACTCTCCAAGTCAATTCAGACTCCATTATTTATAGACTTTGAAAAATCATCTTCCAGAAATAGCTGTCCTACCACATTCTTGACTAACCGATTATCTTACATGAAGAAGAAGATTTATACCCTGCCCTTCACTCAGAGTCTCAGAGCAGCTTACAAACTCCTTTCCCTTCCCGTCCCCACAACACACACCCTGTGAGGTACATGGGGCTGAGAGAGCTCTCCCGAGAACTGCCCTTTCCAAGACAGCTCTGACAGAACTATGGCTTGCTCAAGGTCATCCAGCAGCTGCGAGTGGAGGAGTGGGGAATCAAACCCGGTTCTCTCAGAGTCTCAGAGCAGCTTACAAACTCCTTTCCCTTCCCGTCCCCACAACACACACCCTGTGAGGTACATGGTGCTGAGAGAGCTCTCCCGAGAACTGCCCTTTCAAAGACAGCTCTGACAGAACTATGGCTTGCTCAAGGTCATCCAGCAGCTGCGAGTGGAGGAGTGGGGAATCAAACCCGGTTCTCTCAGATTAGAGTTCGCGCACTTATCCACTACACGAAACTGGCTCTCAAACTTCAAACACCATTTATGCCTTCTTTAAAAATATAAATGCCGTGTTAACACACTTGTACTACTTTTCATCAGCACCGACACTATCAAAAACATTATTTACCATTTTCGCACACATATCAATATCTGTTGGCCCTCAGCCCATGCACCCTGTCTTTGAACTATATTTCACTTCTGTATTTAGTTGGGACAGCTTGGTGTAGTGGTTAGGAGCACAGACTCAAACCTGGGAGAACCGAGTTTGATTCCCCACTCCTCCACATGCAGCCGCTGGTGTGACCTTGGGTCAGTTACAAGTTCTCTCAGAGCTGTTCTCTCAGGAGCAGTCCTCGAACGAAAGAGCTCTCTCAGCCCCACCTCCCTCCCAGGGTGTCTGTTGTGGGGAGGGGAAGGGAAAGGAGATTGTAAACCGCTCCGAGACTCCTTTCGGGTAGTGAAGGGCAGGGGTACAAATCGAATCTCTTCTCCTCTTCTTCTGTTGGGCTCCAGTGCGTATTATGCCTTGATATTAATTATGTCATTTCTAATCTACTCAAGGCCGTGTCATTCGGTTACTCTTTTGTTCTTTCCCCTCCCCAAGGCTGTTCTATTCTGGGCCTCGCTGTTTGGCACGCTCAGCCGAGAGGCCAGAGACCAGCCTGTGATTTTGGCCTGCAGAAGCATTGTCCTGCGTGATCTTTCCAGTCAAGGCCGGCAGCTTTCCCCCCATATTTCTGGCTACAGCTGCGACGTTGCATGAAGCAATTTAAAGGGGTTCCGCTCAAAGGCAGTGGTTCCGAGCGGTTCTGTCTCTTAGCCCGAAATTGTGGAATGAAGAAAATCGAGTCAGGAGAGGAAAGCTATCTAAATAGCAAATCAGTTTTAAAGAACAGCTGGAGCGAGTGAGTCAGGCCAAAACGACTGCTTTGGGAGGCAGACCTGAACGATACGCCTCTCTCCTCACGCCTCCTTGGAAGAAGGAAATCCTGAATGGGAGTCGAACCACATACTGACTAAGGAACGCCCCGGCGTTTACCTGTCCTCCCCGTCCTCCAGTGGGAGATCTTTTGTTTGAACGAGGGCAACCAGTCGCAAGCCCTGTCTTCTTCGGCTCCACCCACTTTCTGAAAAGCTCAGAGGGCGCCAGGGGAAGTACTCACGGGCACCCCGTTGGGGAACCCTGCGTTAGACGGTGTCACGATCCTGGGCCTATAGTGGTGCGGCCTACGGGAGGGGTCCCTCATCCATAAGAACATAAGAGAAAAGGGCAACTAGGATGATAAAAGGGTTGGAACACTTTCCCTATGAGGAAAGGTTAAGGCGCTTAGGGCTCTTTAGCTTGAAGAAACGATGACTGAGGGGTGACATGATCGAGGTTTATAAGATTATGCATGGGAAAAAGCAGGTAGAGAAAGAGGTACTTTTCTCCCTTTCTCACAATACAAGAACTCGTGGGCACTCCATGAAATTGCTGAGCGGTCGGGTTAGAGCGGATAAAAGGAAGTCCTTCTTCACCCAAAGAGTGATGAACACATGGAATTCACTGCCACAGGAAGTGGTGGGTGCTACAAGCATGGACGGCTTCAAAAGGGAATTAGATAAGCATATGGAGCAGAGGTCCATCAGTGGCTATTAGCCACAAGGTAAAGATAGGGACTCTGGGGCAAGTGATGCTCTGTCTTCTTGGTGCTTGGGGGGGGGGGGTCAACAGTGGGAGGGCTTCTAGTGTCCTGGCCCCACTGCTGGCCCTCCTGATGGCACCTGGTATTTCTGGCCAGCTGTGTGACACAGAGTGTTGGACTGGATGGGCCTTTGGCCTGATCCAACATTGGCGTCTCTTATGTTCTTATGTTCTCTAGGGAGGCCTAGTGGCTCCAGGGAAGCCTGTACTAGAGTAGCCATCAGGACCTCCGTTTCCCAGGTCCCCTCTGGACCCTGTGATTGGCTAACGGGGGATCTGGAGGGAAACCTTATACCAGTAAAGGAGCTGACCCTGGGAAGAAGGAATCGAAGGCCGTGCCCAAAGTGGGAGCGGGGTTTCTCTCTCAGGGAGCAGAGCTGGTGAGGCTGCTGCAGAAGGAGGAGGGGGTCCCTCATCCATAAGAACAAAAGAGAAGCATCCCTGGCCCCAGACTGAGCGTTCCTCTCCGTACCTTGTGGCTAAGACCCGTTGATGGACCCATGCTCCATATCTATATATCTAATAGCCAAGTTGCCCCCCCCCCTGCATGCGGATATCTAAATCTGCACATTGGGGGCACTTGGGGGGCAGGGAGATTTTCCTTTACACTTGGGGCAGTCCCCAGGTGTGCAGAAAAAGCTGAAAAGTTTAAAAAACTATACAGGGGATACTCAAATCTCCCCAAACGTTTTTTTAAAAAAGCATTCCCTGCGCACGCGCAGAGAACGCACATACCTCTGGGATCTGTGGCAGAGCCACGCATAAGGACATAAGAGACTTCCAGAAAGCTAGGGAGGCCTTCTAATGTCCTGGCCCCACTGGTGGACCTCCTGATGGCACTGGTATTTCTGGCCACTGTGGGATACAGAGTGTTGGACTGGATGGGCCTTTGGCCTGATCCAACATTGGCATCTCTTATGTTCTTATGTTCTTATGAATGTTGGATCAGGCCAATGGCCCATCCAGTCCACCACTCTGTGTCACACAGTGGCCAAAAATACCAGGTGCCATCAGGAGGTCCAGCAGTGGGGCC